TTATCTATTGTTTGTATGAGTCATAGTATTACGTATTGTGATAAGCATCTCTGTCTTCCTGTAAATCTAGCATAACACACTCACGCCCACCCACACACACACGCCCACCCACACACACACACGCCCACCCACACACACACGCCCACCCACACACACACGCCCACCCACCCACACACACACACGCCCACCCACCCACACACACACCCACCCACACACACACGCCCACCCACCCACACACACACGCCCACCCACCCACACACACACGCCTACCCACACACACACGCCCACCCACACACACACGCCTCCCACCCACACACGCCCACCCACACACACACGCCCACCCACACACACACGCCCACCCACACACACAAACGCCCACCCACACACACACGCCCACCCACACACGCCCACCCACACACACGCCCACCCACACACACACACACACGCCCACCCACACACACACGCCCACCCACACACACACGCCCACACACACACTCCCCACCCACACACACACGCGCCCACCCACACACACACACACCGGCCCACACACACACGCCCACCCACACACACGCCCACCCACACACGCCCACCCACACACGCCCACCCACACACACACACGCCCACCCACACACACACACGCCCACCCACCCACACACACACGCCCACACACACGCCCACCCACACACACACGCCCACCCACACACACCCACCACGTCATTAATACTGCCCCTCTTCCAATTTCCTATTCTAAAAAAACGAATGACATTTCTTTTGGGGTGAAATTTAAGACTTTTCACGGAGTTTAATAATCAACACTCGGTAATATAGAGAATAGCTGCTTGTGTGCTGTAATCAAACGTCTGCAGAATCTATTAAATTATACGTAAGGAATAGAGTTAGCGACTTACTATAATTTGCACACGTTCTAATATTCTCTCAAGTTTCTCTTATAGATCTTGTGTTGTCATGATATTTGGCGTGCGTGTTTGATAAGATGGAGTATAGACATCCATTAAAAACCAGTATACAGTCAATGTATGCTGTCAAAGTATACCATCAAAATTTCAAACCTGTCGCATATATACTTCACAAAATCAGACGTAGACGTATTTATATATTGAGATAATCTACCACGCATATACACACAAATCTACCCCGTGTATATCCACAAAAATGTTACGTGTTATTGAAGTTATTACGTTAATGTCATGACTGCTAGTTCTTGAAAATCATAAGTGGTGATCGATTCAATGCGTCTTGGAGGGGTGGGGGGGTCATCGCCTCGGTCAACGTAATTACAAGAAGGATGATGATTTGTGTTCTCTTTGTGTTAACTTTTATTCAGCGATCTGACAATTTTTTTTTTTTTGTCGCTCCTGTGATATTAATGTGAGTGTCTCCAGCGAGTTAATGTTACTTTTTAGTTCTATTTTATTTTTTTATTTTTCCTGGTTATTGATGTTATTATTATTATCATTAGTATTTACCTATAAGATCCTTGTCCATTGACTTATTAATTATAACAACAGTAAAATATTTAACTGTTACTTAAATCATCGTTTCCCATCATAACTAAGTAACCTTTAAGTAACCTGTAATTAACCTGACTATGCTGTTTAAGTGACTTTGTTTTTGTTATTTGTCCTTTGGTGTTTGACTAGCCAGGATGTTCTTAAGTGTCACCGTGTCTCAATAACGTGTTCCTCATAAACAAATAATCACATAATGTATTGCAATTACTAAGACCTTTACTTCCAGCTGTCGAATAATGGAAGAATGTATGTGTGTGTGTGTGTGTATGTGTGTGTGTGTGTATGTGTGTGTGTGTGTGTGTGTGTGTATGTATGTATGTGTGTGTATGTATGTGTGTGTGTATGTGTGTGTGTGTGTGTGTGTGTGTATGTATGTGTGTGTGTGTGTATGTGTGTGTGTGTGTGTGTGTGTATGTGTGTGTGTGTGTGTGTATGTATGTGTGTGTGTGTGTATGTATGTGTGTGTGTATGTATGTGTGTGTGTGTGTGTGTATGTAATGCTAGCAGTGATAGCTCGCGGGGGAGAACGGTTACCATATAAACACTCATATACCTATTTAGATTTACCCATCCTAGCCGCTACCTTCTGTTAAAACTCAATACCTATCAATACATCACCTCCCACAAGCTCTCTGTGTCTCCGTGTTCGATAGCCTTTTGCCTTCCCTATCCACGTCGTATGCAAGTGTGTCTGCCAATGAGAGGGGTTATATACAGCCCATTGCAGTACCCACGTCCTCAACTGTATCACGACAAACATTTAGGGTTAATATCATCATCAAAGAGGTCCTGATGACAGCTACTGGTGGCATAGTACACACGGAACAGCAAATATTTAAGCTCTTGAGGGGCAATTGCTAAGATTGGCGTACACTGATTCCCCGGCAAGGCAACATACAGAGGCAAGATTAAGTTTTAACACAGAGGGAGGGGTAAAGTCTAGTACACAGAGCCGTGAATGTCGTTTTCTTGTGGTAGGGTCGGAAGCTCTTGAGATCCTAGGATGTCAGAGCTTGAGAGTTCCTGCATTAAGCTGGGCTCTAGAATCATGGGCTCTGGGGCATCTAGCTACGGGTTCCATCAGAGGAGCTCGAGGGAAAGGTAGATAATATAAGAGGGAGACATACACACTCTTACCCACACAAACACACCCACACCCACACAAACACACCCACAAGCCTGATATACAAGTGTGAAGAACGTCCTCGAAAAATCATTCTGGTCCGGTCAGGTCAGGTTAGGTAGTGTGGCCAGGTGATGAAGCAACCAATCCCATAGTGTTACTTGACATGTTTGTTGACCAATATTAGCTCAGGTACAACACGATTCTCCTGCATGGAATGTAAAGTAAAGATACAACGAAGACAGAAGATAAATACAGTTTACATACAAAAGTTACATTGATTTACAAGGTTTCTGGGGATCTCTGAAACTGTATGTGAGAGTTGAGGTCGGTGTTGTTGTTCTCTATGACACAACTCTCACCAGTACAAGTATATTTGATATCTTGATAAAAGGAAACATAAATAAGAGGTTCTGTGTTATAGGGCAACATATATGTATGACTAGGTTTTTTGATATAATGCTAAGTTATTAATAATATTTATTTTGTGTTTTCACTCACTTAACTTCGGTGTCTAAATATAAATAAATACCTGTATATATAATGTCTTTCTTTACAGGTCTTATCGTCACTTTTTCTTAATATACAAATGAGAAGAAAAATTTAAGGGAATTATAACAAATAATTAATTTATCTAGACTGTGTGTTTGTCTGTCGCAGATTTGTACAAAAGAAAAAGTAATAATGATAGTAAGAGCAATAAATAATAAGTTATTACGTGCCACAGTGACAGTCAGCTGTGTCATACACGGTCAGTTGTGTCACACAGGGTTAACTGTGTCACACAGGGCTAACTGTGTCACACAGGGCTAACTGTGTCACACAGGGTTAACTGTGTCACACAGGGTTAACTGTGTCACACAGGGCTAACTGTCACACAGGGCTAACTGTGTCACACAGGGTTAACTGTGTCACACAGGGTTAACTGTGTCACACAGGGCTAACTGTGTCACACAGGGCTGTGTCACACAGGGTTAACTGTGTCACACAGGGCTAACTGTGTCACACAGGGCTAACTGTGTCACACAGGGTTAACTGTGTCACACAGGGTTAACTGTGTCACACAGGGCTAACTGTCACACAGGGCTAACTGTGTCACACAGGGTTAACTGTGTCACACAGGGTTAACTGTGTCACACAGGGCTAACTGTGTCACACAGGGTTAACTGTGTCACACAGGGCTAACTGTGTCACACAGGGTTAACTGTGTCACACAGGGCTAACTGTCACACAGGGCTAACTGTGTCACACAGGGCTAACTGTCACACAGGGTTAACTGTGTCACACAGGGCTAACTGTGTCACACAGGGTTAACTGTGTCACACAGGGCTAACTGTCACACAGGGTTAACTGTGTCACACAGGGTTAACTGTGTCACACAGGGTTAACTGTGTCACACCACAATACTCTTCATATAAAAACTACTCCCTTCCTTCCCAAGTGCCAACACAACTGAAGGAAAGAAAGAGTGACTCTACTGTCGTTACTGGATACACAAGTTAACATTAATATTACACATTGAGGCCGAGAACTGCAGCTTCACTCTCTATCTCTCCACTTTTCTCTCCTTTCCACTGTTTTCAAACACTTTTTTCCTTCTCTTTTCCACACGTTTCTTTCTCTTTTTTCTGAAACAACTGGACAATGTTACTACACATATTCCAATATTTCTATCTTCAGCCAGTTGCTTCTACACTCGACCCTTCCCCACTGTGTCACACAAGTTCACCAGACGCTCACCTACTGCATACGTCCATCGCGGAAATTCTTGTTCGCACAGGCGTACAAGACCGTCTCCCCTAGCAGCGTCCCAACATGGAGACCTCTTTACTTCCCATGTCGGTCACTCTTCTGGTAAATTTACTCTCCCTTCACAGGTCCAAGGTTGTCCCTTTTCTCTCAGCGACACTACACACGACACTCCTTTATACCCTACATATCTCAGGCTATTTCTAACAGTTATTTGTACCTAACACCTCCTTCATGCAGTAACACTCCCCGTGGCTACCTTCATCACCTCCACCAAGACTCCTGCTACAGGTCAGCCAGCTCCTAGGGCTCCTCCACCACCATCGCCACTACTACCATCAACACTACCACCAATACCAACACTAAACATCATCACTATCACCACCAACATCACTATCACCACCATCACCACCACTATCGCCAGCTATGTTCCATTACAGGCTGATGGTGGTGAGATATCGCACTTTGAGAGACAGTGGTGGTGGTGGCAGCCCTTCTCGTACAGTGAGAGACAGTGGTGGTGGTGGCAGCCCTTCTCGTACAGTGAGAGACAGTGGTGGTGGTGGCAGCCCTTCTCGTACAGTGAGAGACAGTGGTGGTGGTGGCAGCCCTTCTCGTACAGTGAGAGACAGTGGTGGTGGTGGCAGCCCTTCTCGTACAGTGAGAGACAGTGATGGTACACAGCCCCCGGTCCTGACTAGAAAGTACTGTAGACTAATTCATTATTCTCCTCAGATCTGCCTCTCGCCCCGGGGACAACGAGCTCTCTCCTGCGCGGGCTTCACCTTCAGAATTTTCTCCATGCCTTCCAGCTGCAGGTTACAACGCCCCTTCTTCTTGCAACGTCGCTCCACACGCTGTTCCCGCTTCTTAAACCTGTTCATCAACCCTAGACGAGAGAAACACAAGTCAACATTGGGCAAATAAGGCAAAAAAAATCGTATTTAGAATGTTGAGAAAAACCCAAACTTCAATTAAGTACACTAAAGGTGGTGCCCCGTGTTGGAGGTAACTTACTGGTGCCCCGTGTTGGAGGTAACTTACTGGTGCCCCGTGTTGGAGGTAACTTACTGGTGCCCCGTGTAGGAGGTAACTTACTGGTGCCCCGTGTAGGAGGTAACTTACTGGTGCCCCGTGTTGGAGGTAACTTACTGGTGCCCCGTGTTGGAGGTAACTGAGGTAACTGGTGCCCCGTGTTGGAGGTAACTGACTGGTGCCCCGTGTTGGAGGTAACTTACTGGTGCCCCGTGTTGGAGGTAACTTACTGGTGCCCCGTGTTGGAGGTAACTTACTGGTGCTGGTGCCGCCGAGGAGACTGAAGGTATAAGTGGAACGAAGATCACGGAACTCAGACCGAGAGATGTCCAAAATGTCGAGTTTTTCCAAGTTGCGGTTCTTGAGGATCATGCGGTGAAGGTGGAGTATATTGCTCGTTCCTCCCTCTAGCGGCTCAAACACGTACTGCAGGGAGGAGGAGGAGGAGGAGAGGGATGATTGGTTAGTTGTGAGTTACCCTATTTTAGAGAGAGAGTTAATGTGATACACTTTATACAATATTGTCGTGACCTTGATGTTTATTACGATATACTGTGTGAAGATGCGAGCAGTACACAGCAATGGGTGAAGAGGAAGTGAAAGGAGGCGAAGGTGGAAGGGAATTGGGTGGGGGGAAGTGGAGTAACGCGAGGGTGGAAGGGAGTATGTAGGTGGAGGAGAAGGTGTAAAGGAGTAAATAGGTGGAGGTTAGGGTGGAAGCAAAGGTGGAAGGAAGCAGATGGAGTAAACTTACGTGGAGAACGCCTGAATTATTGCCTGCACCGTTGTTCTTCCATACAGCCTGTTGAGAGCGGTCACTCAGGCAACGCGCTGTACCCCTAGAGGCCTGAGGTGATGTGTTTACTGTGGAGGAAACAAATCAATGTAAGTTATAACACATTCCTCTTAGGTTAGGTTAGGTTAGGTTATAGGTATTACCTTTGAAACACCTTTGCTCTGAAATTACCCACATAATAACCCGCCACCAGATGTCACTGTGTGTTAGGATTTTTTTAGTATTCAAGTTGCACACAGTGGCGCGTGTATGCTTCGGCAATCTTCAGTTTCTTCTCTTACTCAATGGACACGGAGAAGGAACGGAAGAAAAGGGGGAAAGAGGAGAGGAGGGAAGGAGGGAGGAGGAGGAAGAAGAAAAAAAACCCTAATTAATGAATCTCTTCAACTCGAGGGAAATATCACAGTATCACTGAGCAAGACGTAAAAAAGGTAACTTAAGGTATATACTGTATATAAAGAATCCCTTTATTGAGCAGTTTGTGTGAGGGTTAAGGAAAATATTAAGAATGCCCCCACACAGCCATGAGAGGTGGTAGTTATGTGACAGCTTCTGAAGTGGACACACGAGGATAGCGCCAGATCTTGTTTGTGAACATTGTGTGAATGGTAAGATTTGCTCTCTCTGGTGGGAAGGTGGTGTTGGTGGTGGTGATGATGATGATGATGATGGTGGTGAATGGTGGTGATGGTTGGTGTTTGTGGTGTTGATGCTCCCTGTCTGCCTCCAACTCAGTGTCTCAGGAGGAGGGGGAGGGGAGGGGGCGATTCTCTTCCAGGACGCGAGTTGATGTTAGACTGAACACCGTGTCGGGTTTCCCATCTGACGCCATACCCGAGTAACTATAGAGCAAATACACTGATGGCGGACCTCGCAATGCAATACAAATAGGCCAGATTATCCCCTATTCTTTTAGACCGGAGGTGTATTCATGTGTATCTGACGTCATTGTACCTTCTTCAGGGGTGACGTCAGCTCCTCCTCCTCCGTGAACTTAACCTCAGGAACTATGTGTGGGCGTCACCCTGGTGGCTCGAGTGTGAACTTTCTACTGAATCAACCAACATCAAATGACATACCTCAAAGAGTAATGAGGTTGGCTATTCATGAACGCCTACACACCACCTCTGCGCCGCACCTCCCCGCACCTCCTCCTCTAATACTCTACCTTTTTAACCAGTGTGCAAAGGAGTTACACTGGGGGATGGGGGGAGGTGAAGGTAATGGATACGTGGAGGGGAAGGGGTAAAGGGAAAGGGGGAATGGACTTGAGAGAGGGAGGTAGGTGGGGTTGTGAGGGCGTAATACAACAAGTGTATCATACATTACTGTGTTGTATATTTACACTGTTGTTGTTGTTGTAATAATGTGATGACTTTGCTTCAACAACTAAAGTCTTTAAGTGTGTAATATGGTTAGTAATTAAACTCATTCCATTAACACTGTACTGAGTCTTGAGTTGAGCTTCTGGGATTAATTCACCTCGTCACCTCACACCTCGTCACCTCGTCACCTCACACCTCGTCACCTCACACCTCGTCACCTGACACCTTGTCACCTCACCACCTGACACCTCGTCACCTGACACCTCGCCAACCTCACACCTTGTCATCTCGTCACCTCACACCTCGTCACCTCACTGTCACCTCGACCTGTCACCTTGTCACCCTGTCACTCACCACCACCTGACACCTCGTCACCTGACACCTCGCCAACCTCACACCTTGTCATCTCGTCACCTCACACCTCGTCACCTCACATCAAAGAAGAGGAAGAAGAAAAATAAGAAGATCGAATAAGAAGAAGAATAAGAAGATCAAAGAAGAGGAACCACCACAAATCATTATTAGGTTAAAAGAGGGAGAGTTTCAGCCCCTTAAGTGGACCTCCAGCTCATGGTCTTGTGATCACTTAAAAAAAAACTTTTAAACTTTTGGGCAGAGAGAGAGAGTGTGTGTGTGTGTGTGTGTGTGTGTGTGTGTGTGTGTGTGTGTGTGTGTGTGTGTGTGTGTGTGGATTATTGGCCGTACTATAATAGGGGGAGAAGAGGAGGTGGTGAGTAATGATTAAGAAGAAAAGAAGAAGAATTAAGGTAAAAAGCTTCACTACACGGTATTATTATTTTACCTTAACAATGTAAATATTTTCCTTCCCCCCACCCTTCCTATTCCTCCTACCCCCTCCCCTTCCTTCCCCTCTCCCCCTCCCCCCTTCTACCCCCCCAGGCTATAAGTAAATATAAAATAAATCCTACTCATTTTTCTTTGGTCAGTATAGTGAGTTGTACATACGTCATTCATTCATTCATTCAGTCATTCATTCATTCATTATAGTATACATAATTACTCTCCTCTCTTCCCAGCTTCTCCTATATGTGTGTGTATGTACTTCTTTAACATGTGTATGAATTTCTTCTTGTATGTGTGTATATTTCTCAACGTGTGTATGTATATTTGTTCGTTCATGCGTACGTATTCCAGAAAGAGGAGAGAGTGTGTGGGTGTGTGTGTGGGTGGGTGGGTGGGGTGTGGGAGGTGTGTGTGGGTGTGTGGGAGGGGGTGGGTGTGTGTGGGTGTGTGTGGGTGGGTGTGTGTGTGGGTGGGTGGGAGGGTGTGTGTGTGTGTGTGGTGGGTGGGAGTGGGGTGTGTGTGTGGGTGGGTGGGGTGGGTGTGTGTGTGGGTGGTGGGTGGGAGGGTGGGTGTGTGTGGGGGGTGGGTGGGGTGTGTGTGGGGTGGGTGTGTGTGTGTGGGTGTGTGTGTGGGTGTGTGGGAGGGTGGGTGTGGGTGTGGGGTGGGAGTGTGTGTGGGTGGGTGTGGGGTGTGTGTGGGTGGGTGGGTGTGGGGTGGGTTTGTGTGTGTGGTGTGTGGGAGGGTGGGTGTGTGTGTGGGTGGGTGGGGAGGGAGGGAGAGGTGTGTGTGAGGGAGGGTGTGTGTGTGGTGGGGTGGGTGTGTGTGTGGGTGGTGTGTGGGGTGTGTGGGTGTGGGGGGTGGGTGTGTGGGGTGTGTGTGTGTGGGTGTGTGTGTGTGGGTGGGTGTGTGTGTGTCTGAAACAGCTTCTATCAGTACAATCAACACATCACCTCCCAGGTCTATAGTTAAACTCTCCCTTTCACACACACACCCTCCCTCCCTCCCATCTACCTTCCATCTCTCCCTCCCACCCACCATCCCTCTCTCCCCCCTCCTTCCCTCCCACCCACACACACACACACACACACATACACACACCCATATATGAATGATGTTTATAAATTACATTAACATAATTATATTTATGTTAAAGAGCTGGCACTATAAGTTAAAGAGCTGGCACTATAAGTTAAAGAGATGGCACTATAAGTTAAAGAACTGCCACCGTCAGGGTTCGATTAAAAAAAAACAGTGATAAGGATTTTCTGGGAAGTTAATTTTGTCAAAGCCATTAGTGGGAGTTGCCAGAGGTGTGAGCCTGTAGGCCTGACACTGTTCCTAGAGAGAAGAGAATCACTGTGTGGGAACCTTGCACGTGGCCCGGCCTAGGAGAGAGAGAGAGAGAGAGAGAGAGAGAGAGAGAGAGAGAGACGTAAATATATGCCTCAGCTCAGAAGTTAAAGTCTACTTTTGGCTGGGGTCATATTTATCCCCGCGTTGTGCTGATTGAAATTGCTCGGCGTTAACTAAATATAATAATGAAAGTAACGTCCCGGTAGTGAAGGGGTTAAGTTGGTTAATGGACAGTGAATCGTTCTACTTCTCGCGCACTTTCCGTGGACTCAGCTGGGATGTCGAGTGCAGTGTCGACCGCAAGGCCTACTGAAAGTCTTAGTGACCAGTGTGTGTGTTTGTGTGTTGTATGTGACCACCTCTAATGAGCCATCAGGAGCGTAGGATTCTAATTCCATTATTGAAACAAGGACGTAATGCAGATGTGTTTGTTGACATGTTTTAACTTTGAAAAACACGGGAGAAAAATTTTGAACTAGACTAAAAAAAAAATAAGAAATACTTTGAACTTATCGAAGAGTTGAGTTAATCAGTCAGTAGTGGACACCAATAATGAATTACATAGAGAAAACTGGAGATGAAAGCATACATATATACATAAACATACATACATAAGGAACCAGTTACTGAAATACAAAGACAAATATACAGGTTATTATATTATCAGACTCGTTTTAAAAATTAATAAAACACCAAACATTAAAAATGGAATAATTTGATTTTAGTATTACAAGACACATCACCTCATAAATGAACCTTTTCTTGTGTTCGTATACGTCCACATGTGCATCTCAAAATATATACATACACGATCAACATAAAGAACACTTAAATCCCCACAAGAACACACACACACTTACTTAGCAACTTAAGAGGACATATTGGGCAACACTGTCCAGCCACTTTAATAGGCTTATTACACTGCAACTTATCCCGACTCTGACACTTGAGGCGAGAACAGTCGATCCGTCGGTTGTAACACTTGCATAACACACAGTCCATCTCGCCGAAGGGACCGATAACAGGGTGCCAGATGGAGCCATTGATGAAATACCTTCCTCCGATTTTACAGTCGTGATCGGAACTTCCTTTGGGTGCTGAGGGGTCGGTGAAGGAAACCATGGTATCCCAGTCTAGTTCAGTGGAGTCATCTGAGAGAGAGAGAGAGAGAAGGGGGGTGGGTTATTGTTATACTGAGAGAGAGAGAGGTGAGGTTATTGTTATACTGAGAGAGAGATTATTGTTATACGGTACACACACACACACACACACACACACACACACACACACACACACACACACACACACACAGTATCGCCACAACTATACTCATTCCATAACCCTCAGCACACACGGCTTCCATGGTACACACGACTGGGCCCAAGGCATCCAGACCTGTCTTATTGTGTTGAAGTGGAGACGATGAGGGAGGGACACTGGCTTGAATAATAGGCCTACTAGAGCTCTTCACTCTGTGGGCCTACGATGGAGGAGAGAAGATGGAGGGGAGGAGGGGGAGGGAAAAGAGAGAGAGGAGGAGGAGGGGCGGGGGGGTGGGAGGTTAGGGGAAGGAAAAGGGAGAGACGACAGTGAGATAGAGAGATGAATGAGAGAATCTGAGACTAAAGGAAAGAAAGGGAGAAAGAGAGGGGGAGAGGAAGAGGTGATGAATGGTATACGTGTTCCTTGAGTCATTCTTATAATACACTTCTATTGTTCCTTTAGTAATGACAAGAGGTAGTAGCTGTTCCCTCCATCCCTCCCTCCTTCTCCCTCTCTCCCTCCTTCTCCTTCTCCCTCTCTCCTTCCCTCCCTCCATCCCTCCCTCTCTCCCTCCTTCTCTCTCTCCCTCTCTCCTTCCCTCCCTCCATCCCTCCCTCTCTCCCTCCTTCTCCCTCTCTCCCTCCTTCTCTCTCCCTCTCTCCTCCCTCCCTCCATCCCTCCCTCTCTCCCTCCTTCTCTCTCCTTCTCCTCCTCTCCTTCCCTCCCCTCCATCCCTCCCTCCTCCCTCTCTCCCTCTCTCCCTCCTTCTCCCTCTCTCCTTCCCTCTCTCACCCACGAAGACAATGTAGGGATAACTCAAGAAATCTAACTTACTGTTGTACTTTAAAATGCTGGTTGTTGTTAAGAGAGAAGGAAGATAGGGAGGTGATAGGCAAGAATTAATGAGAGGAAAAGCAGGGAGGGGTAGAAGGGGGTAGCGGGGGGTAGTAGAGGGGATATATTGACTAGGAAGGCCTGATGATTTCTGATATTACCGTAACAAATGAAAAGAGGATGGGGGGGGTGTTCACTAGCAATAAGGGGTCACTAGCCAATAGATGGGTGTATGGGTCACTAGGAATGTATAAATTACCTAAATCTAACATCATATATATACAAGAGCAATATAAAATAATTCAATCATTACCAGGAAAAACAAAATTGTGACAAACACTCAGTTGAAATTTACACTAGACGATACCAATATATTCTCTTAACATGTAAACTTCCCTGAGTAACTCCCTACTGCTGGGGGTGATAGGGAGGAGGGGCCTCACTCCTAATACCTTTACTGCATCATAAAACTCCCTGGCTCTGAAGTCTAATAACAGACGGTCGTGATAATGCATGCGAGGAATGATAATGCCACTGAATGATAATGCCACTGGGAGAGATTCTTGTGACGGTGTTTATATAAAGTCTATAGCAGCAATAGTATGTGAGTTACGTTTCTTCCTTCCTTCCTTCCTTCCTTCCTTCCTTCCTTCCTTCCTCCATCAGTCCCTCTCTCCCTCTCTCTCTTTTTCTCTCTTTCTCTTTTCCTTCTTCTTCCTTCTTCCCCATTTATCATCACACACTCACCTCCCTCTTTCCATCATTCCTCCTCCTCCTCTTACCTCCCCCTGCTCCTCCTCCCACTTATTCCTCTTCCCCCCCTCCTCCTCCTCCTCCCCATCAGTAATTAGTAAATAATGCCTGGAGTAGGTTTTGTATCGAGCATTTTCCGGGAACCGTCTTTATGAGGGAGGAGGAGGGGTTTTAACTGGCTTACGGCTTAATACGTAGTAATTTGTCTAACAGTGTGCAGTAAATGACAAGGTAGGTGGCAGAGATGAAAACATTTTATGACACGCGCCAGCCAGCATTCAACACATCGGTATTATAAACTCGGACTGGATATAAGAACAGCCACTGGTAACCCACACTGCATTAGCTCTCTCTCTCTCTCTCTCTCTCTCTCTCTCTCTCTCTCTCTCTCTCTCTCTCTCTTTCTCTCTTTCTCTTTCTCTCTCTCTCTCTCTCTCTCTCTCTCGGCTATACTGTTTTGCATGTAGTCAACTATTCAAGTCCGTTCATTTCTTCTCCTGTACCACGAACCCTGAGAATCGTGAATCAGAAGTATTTATGGACAGACTAATGTATCAGTTTACGGTTTCGGGTTCGGGTTCACGAGTCTGAGTCATTCGGGGTTCGTGGTCCAGTTTAATTTTTTTTTTCAATGTTGCATTATTGTATTACTAAGATAAATTGTGTACGGATGTATTTCTACGATGACTATTGTATTAATGCATTGTATTTTTTTACGAGTTTATTATTTATCATTTAGTTCAGAAATGGGCAGTATATTAATTAGCTTTACTGAGACGTTTTATGTAACATCATACAACACTTCGCTTCACCATACAACACTTCACCATACAACACTTCACCACACAACACTTCAACAACACTTAACAGGTACAACACTTCATCCTGTCAACAATATATGTCTACTGAAACAAATGCTCAATGAAGACAAACGTTTCTCTGTTGTCTTCAAGAGTAGCATAACAAGTCGGTGTGATAACTAAGCGTAGAAGAAAGGAGTGAAAACGAGTGAAAACGAGTGAAAAGGAGTGAAAACGAGTGAAAGGGGGTGAAAAGGGGTGAAAGGGGGTGAAAACGAGTGAAAATTGGTGAAAAGGGGGTAAAAACGAGTGAAAAGGGTAAAAATGGGGTAAAAAAGGGGTGAAAACGAGTGAAAACGGGTGAAAAGGGGGGTGAAAAGGGTAAACAAGGGTTAAAACGAGTGAAAAAGGGGTGAAAACGAGTAAAAATGAGTGGAAATAGTTACAAGTAGTGAAAATAGTTAAAATGAGTGAAAAAAAGCACACATGTTGAGTATATGTTGCAGCATATCAGGGCAGTAGCGTGGGACAGCTTCGCATAATTTAGTAAGTTATTTCTGTTGACTGCATCATTTGACTAGTCTTATCTCTCACCCAAGAATATCCCCACAGTCCTGAAGTGTTTTTTCTTATTGTATTTTTATGTCAAGAGAAAGATTGGCAATACAAAGAGAAAGATATACAGGTATAGGGAGGTGAATTACATAATGATAAAGACTAAATTCATTGGTTAAGGTACACACACACACACGCTCGCAGGAACACACACACACACAAAGAAGGATACAAGACTAAAAATATTGACACAGATAAGACCATCAGTCATAAACAGAGATACTAGCACATTGTCACACACACACACACACACACACACTACACACACACACACACACCCATACACACACACACCCATTTATCATCTCCATTCTCCTCCCTCACACTGCCCATGTTATGATATCTCTTAAATGTTTGGTTTGATGTTATAGAAAGAAATATTCTCTTTGTTATTTCTGATCATAATGTTGTGTTATGTATTACGAGTGAATGGGTCTTTACAGCCAGTTATTGATAGTCAATATTTTATCCTCCTAGAAGACTTACGAGTTGTTTAGGTGTAAAAATGGTATTATAAAAATGTGTCAATGTATACAGTCAAAAAAGTATCTGTACGGTTTTTATATTAGAGAATTTGACACAATAGATGAAGGATTGTGATAACCTGACCTAACCTAACCTCTCTCTCTCTCTCTCTTTCTCTCTCTGTTTCTCCCTCCCTTCATCTCTCCCTCTCTTTCTCTGTCCTTCTCCCTCCTTTCCTCTATCCCCCCTTCTCTTCCTTTCTCTCAGTAATAACATCAAGGGTTAATATTATCTGTCAGGAGATGAATTAAGCAAAAGATGAAGAAAAAAAAATTCCCTCACTCTCGAAGAACATCTATCAGTCAGATCCAGAACGGTTGTATCTAGGCTAAGTAGACATATTTACAAGCAGTAGTGATTGTTTTCATTAACGTGTTGAAACATGACACAAAGATCAATCTCATGGGTAAACATTAGGAAGAATAATCACAATCTCTCTCTCTCTCTCTTCCTTCCTCCCTCTTTCTCTACCTCTCTCTCTTCCTTCCTCCCTCTTTCTCTCCTCTCTCTTCCATCCTCCCTCTTTCTCTACCTCTCTCCCTCATAAATAACAGAGGCCACACTATACACTATACTATATGTTAATCAGAAAATCTCAAATTAAGCAGGTTCTTTTTTCTGTTTTTATTTACAGGTTATGTTCCCGATATGTATGGAGAAGAGAGCGTGTGTCGACTCGTGCTTTAACGTGGACTGGAAATAATGTAAGTAATCAATCTATTGGGTGACAGTTTATCGTGACCTGGATATTTAAATGATCAATTTTTGTTTGGGAAATATGAATTATTCATTTTATCGTAAACTGGAAATATGAGAGAAATTATTTGATTGTGAAGTGGAACTGTACTGTACACCTGACCCACACACACACACACTAGGGTCCCTGGGTGGCGCCTCAGGTCTCAGGGCGGACTTCAGGGTCGCGAAGCTTAACATTAGGGCTGGCGAGTGACGTCAGAAGGGATAGAAACCTCACCTTGGTGTGTGTGTGTGTGTGTGCGTGTGTCGTCTGCTCCCACCCACTCTCCCTCTTATGCTTGCCTCATAACCATTCAAGATTCCAATAAGAATCTTTAGATAACTCCAGGTGACTTTATTTACCTTAGTAAGAGTACTAAACAACTGCTAATATCAGCGTCAAGTCCAGTATAGTGGTTTTCTCTCGATATACTCTGTCTGTCTGGGCGAGTGAGTGAATGAACATAGGTGAATGAGTGCTTGAGTGAAATTTACATACATACATACAGACTGTGTAGAAGGAGGAATGTAGTAACGGGTTGGGTGTTCTCCTCACACCTACCTCCTTCTCCTCCTATTCCCCCTCCTCTTCCTACTTCTCTCTTCCACCTCCCCTTTGCTAT